GCAGAAGCCAATGCAAAGGAGGGGGCGTTAGCCAGCCATGGCAAGAGAAGATAAAAAAAGAAAGAATGAAGGAAAGAAGATGATAATCGGAAGAAAATAATGCATCAGCGGGGTGAAATGTATCACTATGTTGACCATGGTGGAGAGCGGCGAGATAAGCTAGCAAAAGAGGCGAGCGAGCCTACAACGTGGCATGACATTTTACATGGTCTATGAACTGCCTAATATTGGATATTGTCTTCATTTCCATGGGCAGCTTGAGCCAATACGAGTATGCAGAGAAGATAGGAGATTTGGTAAACATAGTTGACAAAGCTCTGGGAAGTACTATGCCATTGCGAGTGTCCCGTGCGAAAGTAAACCAATTATACTTGGTGAGATGTTCAGGGACAATGTTCAGTTTAATACGATGGACCAGAACGCATGACTGTCTCTGCGACAGGATAGAGATGGGGCTGGTGGAGGCCAAACTATATAGATCAGTAGAGGGGAAAAGAGTGGGTTTACGAAAAATAATTTTCAACACACGTTTATGATGTATTACTAGTGTCTGTACAGCAGATTTACTAAGCAGGGAATGCCAAGCAGTGGCGCCGTACAGAAAGATAGGAAGGAGGTAGCATTTATAAAAGAGACGAATACATTCGGGAGACAAGTGGGAGCAGTGAGACATCAGGCAACCTACAGATTTGCTAACTTTGTTGCATACAAAATCTACGTGAGAATTCCAGGACAATTGCGAGTCAAATACAACACCCAAATGCCTGTGCGTATCTACAATAGTAATATTAATAGCCGAATCAAGTCCGGGAAGGGTAAATGTAGGAGGGTGGTCTATTTGAGGGAGAAAGACTATTTCTGTTTTCAAGATATTGAGTTTCAGACGCCATGACAACATCCATTCATGAACAACATTGATTCCAGTCTGAAGCTTCGTACACAGGTTTGCAATGTCAGCGTCAAACTGAATGAGGGCTGTGTCATCAGCAAATAGTGACAAACCATCTATACAGTCAGGTAGATCGTTTATATACAACAAGAATAGTAGAGGCCCCAATATAGATCCCTGGGGGACTCCCGACTTCACAGGCAGTGGGTCTGAGAGTACCCCTTCGACTGACACTGATTGCGTTCTATCTGTTAGGTAGTCCGTAATCCACGCCAGAGACGCTCCGGAAACATTGTACATCACAGATAATTTAGCTAGGAGTCCACGGAACCATACCGTGTCAAACGCCTTGGCTAGGTCGAAAAAACACATGCCAACATGTTGGTGGTCATGACGAAGGGCCACAATGTCCTGCACAAGGCGTGTCAGCTGCATGGTGGTTGAGTCTCCTCGTTGAAAACCAGATTGGACTGGGGCAAGGGCCGGCGACACATGAGCATAAAGCTTATCAAAGAATAATCGCTCACATAGTTTCGATACACAGGACAACAAGGAGATAGGAAGGTAATTGCTGGCTTGTGACTTGGAGCCTTTGCTCTTGTAAACCGGAACAACCTTCGCGAGTTTCCACGCTGCTGGAAATTTACCCGTCGAAAAGGACACATTAAAAATGCGGCAGAGGGGGTACGAAATCGACGGGGCAAGTTTCTTCAGGACATCATTCGTAATGGTGTCCAAGCCAGGACTGCGGCGAGACTTTAGTCGGGCGATAGCCTTTCTAACATCCGCAGTTGTGGTGATGACCTGAACAAATGTTGCATGAAGTTGGCTGTGGGCACGAAGAGCTGGAAGTGATAACGACGGATCATCCGGCACAGCAACGGAGGCGAACTGCTGGTTGAGGACTGTAGCCTTGTCGAAACTGCCAGAAACTGGATGACCGCCTTCATCAATGAGGTGAGGAAGGCCACGATCCTGCTGACGATTCCGCTGATAACGAACAAACTGGTACATGTTAAGGTTACCTGACGCCATGCTGGCCTGTATAGATGCCAAATAGTCACGGTGAAGAGATCGAGATAAGTTTCGTACTCTGTTACGCTGAACTTTGAAGGCAGACTGGTTAGCTGGGGTTGGGAACTTCCTATATCGGCTGTAGAGTTCGTACTTCAACTTGATGGCAAGTACTAAATCTCGATTAACCCACGGAGGATATTTCCTAGATACAGCTCGCTGGGTGGAGGAAGAGATTTTCCGATAAGGCGACAGGTAGTGGGAAAATGCATCATTCAAGGAAGAGGAGAATCTGGCTAATGCGTCGTCGACATCTGGTGTGTCCATGAGATCATACCAGTTGAGCGAGGAAAGGTACATATTTACTGCTACCCAGACAGAAGGTGGCACTTGCGCAAAATTGTATGGAGTGGCTGGGGAACTACGGGCAGGATAGCATGGTACTTCCTTTGTAGGCATTCGGGTCACAGTTCTGTAGAAAAGGGTGGTAACTACCTGTGAATGGTCGGACGCACCAAGCGGGGCAGCATCGTCGACAGAGAATACTGATTGAGGACGATTGGTAGCGAGCAAGTCTAGGCACGACAGGGTTCCGTTAGGAGAGGTGTGAGTGGGAAAATCTACCAGCTGGGAGAGACCGAAGCTGGAGAATATATGCGAAAGTTCCTTTCCAGCGCGTGATGTAGCGTCACCGCTCCACCAGTCAGAGTTGTGAGCATTGTAGTCACCAGTGAGGAATATATCAACGGATGAGAGGTCTACAGCCCGTAGGGTATCCGTCATCATGTCACAAAATGAGGTAAGTTCAGGTAGGGATTGCGAAGGAGGGCGATACTGACAGCCAATGAGTATAGGATTAGCACCAAGGTCTGCAGGAAGTCCAAGCTCAACCCATATGTTTTCGCATTGGGGCGAGTCAAGGTCTGAGCGCTGGGCTGCATGCAAAAATGCCCCATCTCGTACAAGGATGGCAACACCACCATAACCTCGGAACTGGGCCCTTTGGTTTGCTGGTATTGGCCTATCTCGACGGAAGCACGTATAACCGGGTACACTGAGCATATGTATCGGGCAGAGCCAGGTTTCTGTCAGACATAGGATAGTCGGTGTGTTGGATCGACACAATGCATGGAGTTCAGGGATTTTGTTCGACACGGAGCGACAATTAATCGTAACAATAGTGATGTTATGTTGAGTCTTAGGAAAATATGGGAAGGCCTGGGCGCTCAGCGGTTCGGAAGCCATCATTCTGACGACGTGGAGGTTTTACCTGGTTTGTTCGTATTTGAATCTGCAAACCGCCACTTTCTTACGGTGTGCTGGATAGTTGCAGGCCAGAATCCGTCACCCAGTACCTTTTCCGTAGCTAAGGCTGGGAATGTCACTCTGGCGTAAGCTGTTCCGAAGGTGCGGGATTCCAAGATGGTGCAGTTGAGCACATCCACTGCACGCTCTTGACACCAATCCTTGATGAAGTCGGCACTGCAGCCCATGTGGACGTTTCCTACATAGAATATCGCTTTGTCCACCTTTTCGACACCTGTCAGGACTACAGGGTTTGTTTCGACCGTGGGCATAGGCTTGACGTACTGAGATGTGACCCGACGTCGTACAACATCGACCCAAGAGCTCTGTCCATCTGATTTGTTGCGGGAACTGCTGTCCGTAGTGACGTGACCGTTGCCAGCAGGTCTAGGTGCTGTACGAGTAGTGTCGCTGGACTGGGAAGCGGCACAAGGTTGCGAGTGCATACCGGTAGTACGGTCATTTGAACTTGAGCGTGCATGCTGCGATGTGGAGGCTAGCGTTTTGGAATGACTCAAACCTGCTAATCTCTGCCTCAACTGGGGCAAGTGTCGCACTGGACTGACATGTGTCAAGTATCTCGGCCATGACCTGACGAAGCAAGGTGTTCACCTGACACATGCAAGCTTCAAGCTATCAGTGAACTGTCGGAGCCGACGTGCCTCGCCGACGTTCAGCGTTTTCTCGGGATGGTCACCTATCTGGACAAGTTTCTTCCTCAGCTGTCTCAAGTAACTGAGCCACTTCGTTCGATCGTGAAGCAGCCAGAGCCATTTGTAGCTACTGAGAGCCTGATTGCGGCATTCAACGCACTGAAGCAGGCAGTCGCTTCATCTCTGCAGACATTGGCGTACTTCCGCCCATCTCCAGATGTTCGTACGGCTGTCAGCTGCGACGCTTCGCCTCAAGGTTTCGGCACTATCCTCTGGCAGCACGACGACAAGGGCCAGTGGGTGCCAGTCACTTGTGCCAGCCGATCATTGACTGATGTGGAGACACGCTATTCGCAGATGGAGCGTGAAATGTTGAGTGTGGTATTCGCTCTAACTCGTTTCCGCCAGTACGTTCTGGGCCGGGATGTGGACGTCTTCACGGATCACAGACCACTGCTCCATATAGTTCAGAAGCCGTTCGATGACGTCCCACCACGTTTCCAGCGTTGGCTAGTCTCTCTGATGCCGTATTCGTACTCACTCAAGCACATCCCCGGAAAGCAACTGTTGTTCGTTGACGATTTGTCTCGTGCTCCGCTGAAGACCACTGTCTCGTCTCCAGCTGAGTCCCGGTCATTGAATGAGTATGTCAACATGGTTCTTGAGGCAGCACCAGTCAACCTTGAGAGATCCGCCATGCCACTCAAGACGACGCATCGCTCCACAGTGTCCTGCAGCGTGTGCTCACCTCATCCTGGCGCGATGCCTCGCCCGCTGAGCAGCCGTACTATCTCGTCAGAGATCAACTCACTGCAGCTGACGGTGTGTTGCTATGGTCGGCAAGTGTTGTGATACCAGAAGGGCTACGCCATTCCGTCATGGCATTAGTGCATGTGGGACATCCGGACTAGGAAGCCTTTCAAGATTCCCTCCGGCAGAGGGTTTGGTGGCCAGAGCTCACCAAAGACGCTAGTCTGTATGTGGAACGTTGCTCCGAGTGTTGGCGACGTCGCACAAACAGTCCGCAAGATCTTCTCCCCACTGAGATTGAAGGCGTGTGGGAGAAGCTTGCAATCGACCTGGTATCTATTGAGGGCCACTTTGTTCTCTCCCTCATTGATTATGGTTCCCGGTTCCCTATGCTCAAGGTTCTGTCCTCTACATCCACTACAGCTATCGTGGACGAGCTAGATGAAGTGTTTGCCCTATTCGGTCTACCGTCTGTACTGGTTTCGGATAACGAGCCACAGTTTGTGTCGGAGCAGATGACCACTTTCTTGCAGCGGCTGGGCATTCGTCACATCCGCTCCAGCCCACGTTATCCACGTTCCAATGGCATGGTGGAACGACTCCATCGTCTCGTCAAGGAAAGAATGGTGGCACTGAAGCCTCATTTACCTTTCCGTCGACGACTGAACCAGGTTCTGTTCGACGTCCGACATTCTCGACACCGCATGTTGGGAACCTCTCCAAACGAGGCTCTGTTCTCTCGCCCATTGCGTAGCAGAGTTCCTACCATGATCCCTTCTCGCATTGTCAACCCCAGAATCCAGCTGAGAGCAAAGACCACAATGGCACGTGATCATGACGCTCGTCGGGGAGTGAAGGCCTTGCCACATCTGCAGGCGGGCAAGCGGGTGATCCTCCATGACGGATACAATGATCCAGCTAAGCCGTGGACCGTGGTGGAGCAGTACGGGAGGCAAGTGGGAGTAACCGACGGTGTCCGGATTCTGCTTCGTAACCGCCAACTTGTCAGAGAATTGGTCTAGTAAGTTGTCATTTCTAGACGTGCTTGTAGAGAAGACTGGCTGTGAAATGTTGACTTCTGTGTATCGTAAGCCTACGTTCACTGGTCAGTACATTGCCTTCGATTCATATTGTTCGTCTCAATACAAGGTCAACTTAGTTCGTAACCTCGTGGACCGTGCGCAACGTATTTGTTCGCCCAGTAAGCTGCAGGCCGAGCTCGATTTTCTTCGATCTGTTTTCTTGAAGAATGGCTATCCGGAATTCTTGTTGGCTAAGTTTCTGTCCATGGAGCAGAAACCGAAATCGGTGCTGATTGGTCCACCTCGCTGTCCCGTCTATCTATGTTTGCCATGGAAGGGGCAGGAATCGATCAAAGTGTGTCGCGAAGTCAAGTCTATCGTCCGTCGTACTTATTATGCAGTACATTTTGTGCCAGTCTTCACAACAATGCGTGCGTTCACAGTGCGAAAGGACGTCCTACCAACCCTCCACCTTAGTCATGTTATCTACAACTTCGAATGCCGACATTGTGCTAGTCGGTATGTTGGTAGGACTGTTCAGCACCTGAACGCACGTATCAAAAAACACACTCCACTTCACATCCTTCCACCCAGTGCGCAATCTGAGAGGCCCAAACGCGGGAGGCCTAGGAAAAACCCATCACCTACACGGCAGGATAGTTCCTTGCCGCTGTCTGCCGCTCCCCCTCTGACATCTGTGTTGGACGGGTTTGAGCTTGGCAGCTCTTTGGAGGTGCGTGCGGAACCGCCATTGGTGCAGCCGTCGGGTGTGCCTAAGTCTGTGCCTCTGGGTGCTTTGCATGGGGCTGTGCCTCGAGTGGTGACAGCACCTCTGCCTCCCCCTGACCCTCCTCCTTCGAGGTATGTGTTGGTGGAGAGCACCCGCGGCGGTCGATTTGTCCCACCGGAACTAGAGCTGGATTCAACAAAAAGACCAACAACCATGGCTGCAACAACAACACCAGCTTCACATCCAACAACAACACCAGGTTCACATCCAACAACAACAACAACTAATCCACAAAACAAAGCAGCAAATGACAGACCACTGAGATCTACAGCAGATTACAACCGGACCTATGAATTCACGGTAAAAATACAAAGGAAACAATCGGGAAGGACGACGACTGACATGAAGGCAACGGCATTCACGGTTGGCGTGGGTGGTGAAGGTGAGACGCAGGACGATGCAAGTGAGGAGGGGAGTCAAACCGCTGTGGATGACGGAGCAGGTTCTGATTCGGACAATGAGGGAGAAGGTGAGCTGAGTGGGGGTGAGAGTGAGTGTGAGGGTGTGCGCGTGAGTCGAGATTGTGTGCGTCCGTCTCGTAATAAGTCTTCAGTATACAATCATTTGGTTTCTTTTACTGACTGTTGTCGTACTTATTCTGATTCCTGTTTTTCTGTTTTGTGCCGTGCTCGTCATGGTTATCTTTTGCAGTTACAAGTTTTGGAAGCTGTTTGTCAGCGCATTCATAAGCCGAATTTGTGTGTCCAGAAAGATAGTGTTATTACCCTAAAATTGTTCAAATAATGTTCTTTTGTGTAGTGTGGCAACGTTGTTGCCACTTGTGCCTACATGTGTTTTGTCACCTTCTTGTTTATTATTGTTATTAATATCATTCGTTCTCACTTTTTTGTTTTTGTTGCTGATACACACTTGTCACGCTTAGTTCTTACTTGTATACCCTTGTGTTCTGCACGCTTTTGTGAGAAATCGCACCTCGATATTCCAGTGCTGTCATTGTATCGTGTCACCCTACCTTGATTGCTATATTATTTCCTTTGTTCTCATTTTGTTCTTTAGTACAACGGTGATTCTTGAAGAGTGTTGTACGAAAACTTGTTCGAATCATCTTTTTTTCCATTGCCCTTTTTCTTCTTACATGTATTTTCCTTACCCTTTAGATTGTTTCTTGCATCGTCTCCATCGCTTACATTGTTAATAAAGTAGTCCACATGTCGCTTCAGCTCGTCCTACTTATTGCCATATTAAAATTATTGTCTCCTCGTCGAATTTTTAAATAATAATAATAATAATTTAAAAATTCGACGAGGAGACAATAATTTTAATATGGCAATAAGTAGGACGAGCTGAAGCGACATGTGGACTACTTTATTAACAATGTAAGCGATGGAGACGATGCAAGAAACAACCTAAAGGGTAAGGAAAAATACATGTAAGAAGAAAAAGGGCAATGGAAAAAAAAGATGATTCGAACAAGTTTTCGTACAACACTCTTCAGGAATCACCGTTGTACTAAAGAACAAAATGAGAACAAAGGAAATAATATAGCAATCAAGGTAGGGTGACACGATACAATGACAGCACTAGAATATCGAGGTGCGATTTCTCACAAAAGTGTGCAGAAAACAAGGGTATACAAGTAAGAACTAAGCGTGACAAGTGTGTATCAGCAACAAAAAACAAAAAAGTGAGAACGAATGATAATAATAACAATAATAAACAAGAAGGTGACAAAACACATTTAGGCACAAGTGGCAACAACGTTGCCACACCACACAACAGAACATTATTTGAACAATTTCGTCATTTGATGCTGTCAGTTACAACTGGTGTCGAATTTTCGTTCAACGATGTGATGTACAAGCAAGTAGATGGTGTGGCGATGGGATCTCCTCTTGGTCCCGTCCTCGCCAATATATTCGTTGGTTATTGTGAGTGCAAGATTGATGAGTCGCTTTGGCCCGCGTTCTACGTGCGTTTTGTTGACGATTCGTTCACGCATTTTGACAGTGTTGAGAGCAGTGAATTGTTTCTCGATGTGCTCAACAACCTACATCCTTCCCTCCGCTTTACTTGTGAGCACGAGCAGTCTAGTAAGTTGTCATTTCTAGACGTGCTTGTAGAGAAGACTGGCTGTGAAATGTTGACTTCTGTGTATCGTAAGCCTACGTTCACCGGTCAGTACATTGCCTTCGATTCATATTGTTCGTCTCAATACAAGGTCAACTTAGTTCGTAACCTCGTGGACCGTGCGAAACGTATTTGTTCGCCCAGTAAGCTGCAGGCCGAGCTCGATTTTCTTCGATCTGTTTTCTTGAAGAATGGCTACCCGGAATTCTTGTTGCGTAAGTTTCTGTCCATGGAGCAGAAACCGAAATCGGTGCTGATTGGTCCACCTCGCTGTCCCTTCTATCTATGTTTGCCATGGAAGGGGCAGGAATCGATCAAAGTGTGTCACGCAGTCAAGTCTATCGTCCGTCGTACTTATTATGCAGTACATTTTGTGCCAGTCTTCACAACAATGCGTGCGTTCACGGTGCGGAAGGACGTCCTACCAACCCTCCACCTCAGTCATGTTATCTACAACTTCGAATGCCGACATTGTGCTAGTCGGTATGTTGGTAGGACTGTTCAGCACCTGAACGCACGTATCAAACAACACACTCCACTTCACATCCTTCCACCCAGTGCGCAATCTGAGAGGCCCAAACGCGGGAGGCCTAGGAAAAACCCATCACCTAGACGGCAGGATAGTTCCCTGCCGCTGTCTGCCGCTCCCCCTCTGACATCTGTGTTGGACGGGCTGGAGCTTGGCAGCTCTTTGGAGGTGCGTGCGGAACCGCCACTGGTGCAGCCCTCGGGTGTGCCTAAGTCTGTGCCTCTGGGTGCTTTGCATGGGGCTGTGCCTCGAGTGGTGACAGCACCTCTGCCTCCCCCTGACCCTCCTCCTTCGAGGTATGTGTTGGTGGAGAGCACCCGCGGCGGTCGATTTGTCCCACCGGAACTAGAGCTGGATTCAACAAAAAGACCAACAACCATGGCTGCAACAACAACACCAGCTTCACATCCAACAACAACACCAGGTTCACATCCAACAACAACAACAACTAATCCACAAAACAAAGCAGCAAATGACAGACCACTGAGATCTACAGCAGATTACAACCGGACCTATGAATTCACGGTAAAAATACAAAGGAAACAATCGGAAAGGACGACGACTGACATGAAGGCAACGGCATTCACGGTTGGCGTGGGTGGTGAAGGTGAGACGCAGGACGATGCAAGTGAGGAGGGGAGTCAAACCGCTGTGGATGACGGAGCAGGTTCTGATTCGGACAATGAGGGAGAAGGTGAGCTGAGTGGGGGTGAGAGTGAGTGTGAGGGTGTGCGCGTGAGTCGAGATTGTGTGCGTCCGTCTCGTAATAAGTCTTCAGTATACAATCATTTGGTTTCTTTTACTGACTGTTGTCGTACTTATTCTGATTCCTGTTTTTCTGTTTTGTGCCGTGCTCGTCATGGTTATCTTTTGCAGTTACAAGTTTTGGAAGCTGTTTGTCAGCGCATTCATAAGCCGAATTTGTGTGTCCAGAAAGATAGTGTTATTACCCTAAAATTGTTCAAATAATGTTCTTTTGTGTAGTGTGGCAACGTTGTTGCCACTTGTGCCTACATGTGTTTTGTCACCTTCTTGTTTATTATTGTTATTAATATCATTCGTTCTCACTTTTTTGTTTTTGTTGCTGATACACACTTGTCACGCTTAGTTCTTACTTGTATACCCTTGTGTTCTGCACGCTTTTGTGAGAAATCGCACCTCGATATTCCAGTGCTGTCATTGTATCGTGTCACCCTACCTTGATTGCTATATTATTTCCTTTGTTCTCATTTTGTTCTTTAGTACAACGGTGATTCTTGAAGAGTGTTGTACGAAAACTTGTTCGAATCATCTTTTTTTCCATTGCCCTTTTTCTTCTTACATGTATTTTCCTTACCCTTTAGATTGTTTCTTGCATCGTCTCCATCGCTTACATTGTTAATAAAGTAGTCCACATGTCGCTTCAGCTCGTCCTACTTATTGCCATATTAAAATTATTGTCTCCTCGTCGAATTTTTAAATAATAATAATAATAATTTAAAAATTCGACGAGGAGACAATAATTTTAATATGGCAATAAGTAGGACGAGCTGAAGCGACATGTGGACTACTTTATTAACAATGTAAGCGATGGAGACGATGCAAGAAACAACC